CAAATTAATTTATCGTTCAACCTATTCAAAAAGCCGTATGAGTTGGGTTTGTGATATTAAATAAGACCAATTTACGATATAAAATGAAAACAAGAGAGTTAAAATTAGAAAAACTCTGCTTTATTTAAAATGTAAATGCAGGTAAGCAAATATAAGCACATGTGCTGCTGTAGTTGGATGAGGATGGAGGAAGGATTGCTGAATGTGGTGCAATCGTTTATACGCGGGGTTCACTAAGACAAGATTTTTTAACTTTGATAGTGTACTATTCTTAAAAATTACAAAACGGATTTTTTAAAAGTGGAACTGGCGTGCTATTGGTAGGCTAATATTTACGGAAACGTACAACTATGTTCTGGGTTATTGTAAACCATTCTTTTTAGATGTATTGTAGCGTCCCTGGACTCCCTGAAGACGAATGACGACAAAATACTTGGGCAGAATATATATTTAGCTCAGAGAAGGTGTCTGAGCTGTGGCATAGCTCAAAAAGGCCAGACCACCCAGCGAGGTACAAGGGGGCTAGTTCGAAGTCCAAAAGTGGCGTCTCACCAATGCCGGTGGGTAAACCACTATCGTATTACAGCATAATGCTTTGGTAGGACACAACAGCATACCTTCTGTTATGCTGCTCTGAATTGGAAGGCATTCGAGATACTTAGGTTGAAAACGGATGCCATCAATTTCGTGACCGAGCTAACACCATCGAGCACTGGAAAGTAGAAGAGCGCTTCCTCGCAAAGATCTTGTTAATCGTGAAATCCTAGTGTCACGCAACGTATAAGGTCCTTTTAAACTGGAATTTTTCATCAAGGAGCCAAAAACGGAAGGTGCAAGGGAAGCATAGCTAAAATTCTACGCTGTATAGCCGCATTCGTGACCATGCTAGTATTTGGTAATAGTAAGCAGTACAACTTCATTAACTTGCACAAACAGGTATTTTGATCCATTTTTTGCCTGTCAGAAAGGATTAAGCCAGTGAGCGAAAATATCCCCACAAAGCAAATTTTTTTTAGAGTTCGCCCATTATCTTTTGTTTAGCTTTCTTTGTTGTAAGCTCTTTAAACTTCTTAGCCACCTAATTTATTACCCTATTACTACTTAACGCAACCTTAATCCATTTTAGTCCTTATTCCTCGTATAGGTTTTGACGGAGTTTAGATGTACTGGTTTAACTAACCGCGAAAGCGTTACTTAGCCGTTGTGCTTGTGTGTACGCTGTGGTCCGTCGTGGGTTTTTGCTGATTCCAGTTAGTATGTTTTTCAGTTTTTTCCTCGTGGCTGCAGGTTCTCACCACACTTTTTACACAAGTATGGTTTGAAGATGACCCAGTGTTTCGTGATTTTTCCACATGTTTCCCGTGTCTCTCTAACATAGCTTAAGTGGAACATTTTTCTGTTCTTGAATCAACCTTCGGCGTTTTTACTTGTCTTGTTGCCTTAATAAAAATGTGCAGCATTAGCCCTTGCCTATTTATTCATATATTCATCACTTTTTAAGACTAATTTTGTGCACCTACGGATATCTTTTCCATCTTGTCTCCATGTTTCATTAAGGCTAAGCTCTTCCCGAATGCCAAAGTCAATTAAAATTGATCAGTTTCGCTACATGACGAATGAGTCATGGCGTGTTCTAATGGCTGTTGAAATGGGTATGAAGAATCATGAATTCGTACCCCTCGATTTGGTGCACAAAATCTCCCGTTGTGCTCGTCGCGGCTCCGCTTTCTTGAAGCTTCTTCGTGATGATCTTGTTCCTCATGGTCTTCTTGCCTATGAAGGTGATTCTCGAAAAGGTGCGTTTTTTCAACTATGATGACCATGATCTTATTTGTTAAGTCGTCTTCACAGATGACTAATGCAAAAGCGAAGCCCTGAGTTGATATTTGGCCAACGTCGTAATACATCTCCTTCAGGATACTCAGGGTATCGTCTCACAAATCTTGGATATGACTATCTGGCTCTGCATACACTAACAAAGTCTGGTCAGGTGATTGATTTGGGCTCAATGATCGGTGCCGGGAAGGAATCCGACGTTTATCTTGCTGTTGCCGGTGATATGTGTGGTAGACAAGGTAATGACATGTCGGAGTCAACAAGGGAAGTCGGAGACCAGCAAATATGGCCACATCTACCCT